TTTCTAACTTAGTGTATGGCCATACAAATGCTAATTCCAGCTGAAGGGAGGGGTAAGAATATGCAATCAAAGGCCATGTGTAACTATCAGTAAAAAGTCACTTTGGAATTGCCCCTGGGTTGTGACCCACAGTAATTAAGAAATCAAGGTGCACGTCTTCCTCTGCCCTGACTGATGAACTCTGTCTTCTAAACCCTAGTAAATAAAACAAAGTTTTGTCAAAGCATCAGAAATTTCAGCTTGGAGTTGGATGTCCTGTAGGAATTATGGAGATGTTTCTTGACCTAATTCTTATTTAAGTCTTTGGTATTTCTGATGAGCCGTACACCAAGGTACTACTTTCAAGACTGCCTAGAAAATGCAAGCATCATTAGACGTAAGTATGCATGTGTTACTGAAAGGGAGTCCTGTGTGGCTGGATTTAGGGGGGAAGGTTATGTTGGCTGCCATCAAAATACACAAAAACATGGAATTCAACTAGTTTTACTGCAAAAGCAACATTGTTGTTCAGCCCTTTTGGGAACTATTTGCTTTAGATGTTCTTCAGCTTCTGAAGTAGGACAGTTTCATTCCTTATTGAAAACCATAGAACTGAGTGAGAATTTGTTTATGGCTTTGTGTGGCAAGAGCTGTAGAATTTGAGTTTGACACTGTTGGTTTCAGTGGAAAGTGCTGAGCATCAGTAAGTTAGAGGTTACATAGTAGGAAAGTTACTAGTATTATACAAGTAACTTGAAAATTCAGAAGCTCTGATTCCCCTTACAGCACCTAAGCTTTACAGATCAACAAAGTTTTATTCTTTGCTTGTGAGTGTAGATCTTTATGGATAAATACCCTGTCTAAAAGTCTATAGAGTAAACCAGATCTGCATTTGTTGCCTTTGTCTGGTTTTTATGCCCCTGATTGCTTCAGGACACGGTTTGTGTCTGTATAAGAATTGCAGCTGACTGTGATGGATTTCTTGGAGTCCCTGGTGCTGCTTCCAGTTGCAAAACTTAATCACAGAAGTACTGCTAAAGCAATTGATTGGCAGAAGACGAGAGTTATGTTGGCCTGAGTGAGATGGCCGTGAATAACAGCTTTTGCTAGGAGCAAACAAAAATTGATAGAGGGAGGCTATCCAGCTCTGCATGGCCTTCATGATTGCTGACTCCTGCTGGCACGTACCCACCTTACTGGGTGCTCTGAGACACCTCGGCTGGGCAAGTGCGGTGCCGGAGCCATGGGTGGATAGGTAGCAAGAGCAGTATGAAACAGTGGCACAGCAAAGGGCTGCAAAACCAGACAAGAAGCCAGAGTTTATTTACAAGTGTCTGTTCCAAAATTATGCTGTCTTATCTACACTTGCAATGCTCTGTGTAGCATTGAGTTCTTTGCCAAGTGTGTACAATACAATTAATTATCACTCTATCAGTATCACCTCTTAAATTAATTTTGCTGGTTTTCATGATTGCAACACTGAATGATTTATGTTTTCCCCGTACTTTTCACTAATTGCATAACTCCTCATTACTGAGTTCATTTGTCTTCATCTGTCCATATGTTTTCCCTGTTTCTTGTGAACATATAGTGTAACTTTGTAGCCCTCAAAGAAGAATGTAAATACTTAGTCTGCAGAAATAACTGGTGCTATAAGTCTGCCCGTAAGTGTCGTGATCTCTCTCCCCTGATGTTCTGTCCCATCCCGGTGAAGCCTGTGGATTGTTTGAGAGCTGAGCAGTGTTTAGGGGCAGAAATGTTACAACTGGCCCTTTTAAAGTGAATTTACCAAAGAAAACCCCAATTATAAAGATATATCAATTTGAGTAGCATATCACGTGTTTAATACAGTAAGAATATGATAAGTGAGTTGAACACAGGAGTTTTTTACCTTTCCTCAAAAGCACGATGAAGATAAAAATGGTCTGAAAAGAGTAATTTTATAAAGCTAATTTGGACATGGTGTGAATGACCTGGGACTTCATGTAAAACATAATCTGTATGCAGTTGCAAAAAAAAAAAATTGATAAGATCAGCCAGATAAATTACACAATGTTGACCTTATTTTTAAAATTACTTTGCTTAAGGAGATGACAGATCATTTTGGTCTTTATGTAATAACCAAAATTCAGCTTTCTTGTTAACAATAGGAATGCTAAGCTTTTATTTTCCCAGGGGTACTTAAAAAAGTTTGACATACTTACAAAAATAGGATGAGATCAACTTATAGAAATCTAAGCCAGGATTTTGTCATGGTTTTATTTTTGCCTCCAGACTTTAAATACTTCTAATAAAGGATATATTTTAAAGCTTGAACTAAAAGCCTAGAGTTCACATTGCTCTGTTTGGATCTGGGAGAGGCTCATATGCTCCTACACATTTTTTTAAGTATAGGAAACACATAACATTCTTGTAAATCAGTTTTGTAAGGAAGAAGAATGAAAAGACCATTCTTCAAGCAACACAACTTTAGCTTCTATTTTTTTTGCATGCACCTTTTAGGAAAAGTAGTCTTAATACACTCTTTTAGGGCTTGTAGAAAACTTTGCTTATCTTACACAGAGCATTTTTTAATCATTCTGTTTGTTTCTGACTAGCTTATCTTTTTTGGTAATTCTTTTCTCTTTTGGACTCCCAGATTGACTTAAATTTATTACTTGAATGAGTAATGGAATAAGATTCTTTCTAGGGGGAAGTGCTGTAGCTGTGCTTCTGAATAAGTAGCATTACTGCTACTTATAAATAGTTACAAATAGCTGTAGTTTTGCACTTTTAGCAATGTTGTTGAAACAAGGATAAAAGTAGTACTGATGTTAAAAGCACTTACTTCACTATGTTGTACATGCCAAAGAATGGGCAAAATAGAGTTCTCTCTCCTGGTTTAATACATCTTTTTAGTGTGCCTTCAGTGAAATAGGATTTTTCTTTTTTAGCTGGCTAGTATCTTGAGCTACATTCATATTTACCATATTATTTAAGTTCATATATTGGTGAATCGTCAATCTTTCCTACCCTCTAAGGATTTAGAAAATACAAAGGTAACTTTCCCATTTTCCCAAACTGTTTATTCCTTTGTACTGACTTTTTTCTTAAGATACAGAAGAGAAATTTGTGGGTTTTTTCTTCCCTGGTGTCAGTAGCTCTTGAAAAGGGGACTATGGATTTCTCTTTGCTCTCACACTCTTTTTTTTTTTTTTTTTTAATTTTTAATGGGGGAAAAAAAAAAAAAAAGCTATTGCATCAGGAGGCAGTGCTGATTGGAAAGACCAGACCTACCACATAATGAGATATAATGGCACTTTAGTGCTTTATATACAGAAACGACTCCATGTTGGGTTTGGTTTTGCTTTGTCATTACTCTCTGGGGCACTGGTGTGTGATTAAGCTTCTTCTGCAGGCTACTGGAGAAGGAAGTTGTGCTGTATTCCAGGTATGAACCCAAGCCTGAAAAGTTTCTAGCATAATGGTGCAAAATCCAGCGATTATTTATCTATTTTTCCTTCCTCATTTTTTCTTTGGACAAATTGCAAGGTAGAATTAGTTAAAAGTAGCTACATCATATTATTACTGTTCATTAGAACAGTGACCAAGTCAGTGGTGATGAGCAGAGGACTGGGTTTACTCAGAGTAGGCAACTGGGTGTGACGAACACAAAAACCTATGGTATGTTTGTACACTTTCTGCAAAGGTCTTATCAACTGAAGCGAGAAAACCTTCCTAGTACAAGACAGGAAACTTGATATTAAAGGAATATGTAAAATAATAATCTACAGGAATGGGAGTGAATCATATGTTGATAAGAAAAGAAAAAAAAACACAGGTGGTAGGGAAGCATCGAATATTTGGCACAATCTGCTGGAAAATAAAATAGCCTTAGACTTTTTTAGAAGAAATAAATTTGAAGAATAACTGCAGGAAGATTATTTTTGTATATTAGAAGCCCACAGTAGTCTTTAGGGTCATAATGGAGAATGGATGAAGACCTCTCATTTTACAAGTGAGAAATACTGAGTATTGTCAAGACTGGCAAGATTGGTTTTGCCTGAGATTAGCTTCCCAAGCACAGCTACTATTAATGGTAACAAGATACTCAATAGATTTCTTTACCAGTCTGTACATTAACAAAGCACAGGCTTGGAGCCATCGATGTTTTAGGAGAGCTGCTTGAAGAAAAGTATTGTATTTTTCATATGTGTAACTCATGGATTACCTGTTTAAAAAGGGAGAGAGGGGGCACTGGAAATTATATAAAATGCGGCTTATCTCCACCCACCTTGAATTTTGTGTATTTTGTGTTAAAACTTATTTTCATTAAATACTAATAACAAGCTTTATGGATGGATTGATTCAAGTTGGTGCACAGTCAGATGCATAAAAATATGTATGTAGTCTAGATTCATAACTTCAGAAGTGCAGTGTCTTAGTTTTACTAACAAATTGCTAGGGATTTAAAGAGCTCTAAAATTTACATATGGGACAAATCACTGATTTGATCAATCAGAAATTTCAAAATACATGCCTTAAACAGTAGAAGTGAATGGGAACTTCTAGAGAAAGACTTTAGACTTCGTTGAATGAAACAAGTAAGATAAAAAGGAAACCGGGAACTAAATCAGAACTTAAAAGAAATGGGGAAAAAGTGCTAGTCAGCAGAGCCAGACAGACGTATCTTAGGGGTCAGATAGCATTAACAAGTTTGGGTTTTTTTTAATCTTAAGAACAGACTTAACAAAAGGATATTGAAGTGAACTAGAAAAGATTTATGTAAACATACAGATATTTATATCCATAAATACGTTTACAGTGAAGTCTCTAATATTGGGCTTGACTGGTGGAACTTTCATTATCATTGAAGCCAGGAAAAATTCTTACATTGTCTTCAGAAACTTAATTTTGTTTAAATCTTGTAACTTGGAAACAATAAAAGCATCAGTTACCTATAATTTCATGTGTTTATGTATCTGAAAAGTGCATTCAAATCTCTAACATGATCTTTCTTTCTCCCCCTGCCCCTGTTCTAGGAATTGGCTCTCCGAAGCCAGCTTCCAACGATGGAACAAGACAGCGGATCTCAAAATCCCGTGTCATCTCCTGGAATGTCTCAGGAACTAAGAACAATGACTACAAATAGTTCTGATCCCTTTCTTAACAGGTTTGTAAGCGTAGCTACTAGAGGGGAAGAAAATTGATTTAAAATTCTGTTTGGTACATGTAATAGTTTATTTTGAACATCTGTCTGTGCCAAAAGCCACAGCTGTAAATGAATCTTTCCTTAAATGGCAAGTCTAGTAAAAGTTGAGGATTAAAAGCTGTCTCCTGTGGGAGGAAGTAGTCTGTTCAGACTTGTAGGAAGGTTTTTTATTCAAAGTCATAACATGTTTGCCTCTGCATAATCTGTTGACTAACAGTCATTTCAAATTACTGACTCAGAAGAATTTCGAATAGGTTGCTATGAGATCAAATGAACTGTGAGGCACATTTAGGACTACACCTTGAGGTTCATGTTTTCTCCATTCACCCCTCCCCTCCACTTCAGGTATTTAATTTAGCAGTATTTTTACTCTGTTAATGTTAGGTCTGCAAATAGTGGCATGTTTCATTTTAAATGCTGTATTATTTTGAAGTGGGTCTTTTATTTCAATATTTAGAATTTTGCAGTATAGACTAGTCTCTTTCACATAATTTTTCCTTAATCCCTCTGAGTTAGTGTGTGTGTTTTGTTGGAAATACTGTTCTAATTACAGCTTGCAAATGCTTCTTTTTAACCATTACAACTTTGGAGAAACTGCTGCAGCTTGACATAAGTCATATCTGTATTTTTTGCTTAGCATGCTTGAAAGAAAAGATAAAAACGGTAGAACAGTCAAATCTCCAAGCCACATAAATTCTTAATTAATGGAGTAAAAATCTACTAGCACTTGAGCAGTATCAAGTAGTTGATCTAAAGTTGGAGTAGTTGATTTTGTAGTTCTTCATTAGACTATATTTTGTCAGCATTCTAAACTGATATCAACTCAGTATCTGTTACCATAAAAGAGAAAAATTGTGTATTCTGACAGAATTCATCCCTACTTTTCTGCATTACATTGAAATGTTAGCCTAACTTTAGGATGCTTACTGAAAGTGCTCGTGAAGTATAACAACATGCTGATCCTACTCTTAACTGATACATTATTAGACTCGTACAAAACCCCATAAAATTCATCTTTATTGTTTCAATGTAAGTCGTAACTTCCCTGGTGTGGGCCATCAATACAGTTTCAAACCTGCTCACATCATGCTAGAACTGGCATGATTTTGGAGTAAGGCAAGCTTAAATACCTGCTGTAATTTAGATACTGAAAACTGTTAAAATCTTTGTAAACCTTTGCTGCTTCACTTATTTAAAAGAATATGGGAAGAGATTTATAACTTAATGTTGCTGATATCTCACACTGAAGTTCTTCATTCCTAAAGAGGTACTGTCATTGTAACTTTTCCAGTTACTGATACTCCATCAGCTTACCTTAAGTTTGTTTAATTTTCTGCCTATTCTAGGAGACTTCTCCGTCATTTTCGTATACTCTGTCCTCACTCTAATTCTCAAAATTAGTAAAGTTGGGAGGAGTTAAGGCAAGAACCTACCCTCCATATCGCCAGTGGAATCTGTTGTCATTTGTGTCGTTTAGTTTATGTAAATAACATCTGTTGCTCTTAAGCTTTTTCTCCTGCTGCATGAAGTGTTGTCTGTGCTAGTGTGGTGTGTGCTGCTGTGAGAGTGGGAGAAAAGTTTCTGTCTCAAAGGGCACAGTGCTTTGTATATATGGGAGAAAACCAAATTAAAAAAAAAAAAAAAGGCCTTGCATGTGGAAAAGAACATAGTGGTGTTCTGTTATTAAACTCCCTAAGGAAGTAAGTGGTATTTCCAAGTTTTGGGTAAGCCCTTCAGGAAGACTTATCTCCTAGACAGACAAGTCTGAGTAGCAAACTTCATTTTTTGTTAGAGAAGGATTGTCCTCCATGGTATTCATCCTGGGATCTGATATGCTGGCCCTGTCCTGATGAATAAAAAAGTCAATAAATTTTAAAATCGACCTGCTCTCCTATGAGAAGCCTCTGTATATAGACGATAGCCTTGATGTCTTATAGTACCATACTAGCTTGAATTTCTGGAACGCCATTGCTGTCATACGTTGAGCCCAGGTATATTTTGAAATTTGCTCTTAAATGACGTAGAATCCTCACATCTCCAAAACCTGTTTTCTGACCTGAAAGAAACACATCTTCAGGTTTCAAATGGCCATGGCAGTGGACTAATGCAGTTTATCCATCATGAGTCTACATACATGAAATACAAAATGATGGATCTTTACCTTTAGTTAGAAACAGGAAAAAAGCTAGAAAGGGCAAATTCATGTTGTTTGTAATTTTTTGGCAGGTTGATAATTAGCAAGGACTGTTCACTGCAAAGTGCAAAAAGGTACTATACTACATGCCTAGTTGCAAATATGTTTAACTGTGCTTTTTTTGAAGCCTTTACCCCACGCAAAGTACTGAAAAATCTGTACCTGTCTAGAGTTCAGAATATCTTAATTTTGCATTTTGGTCTGAGCATTGACCCCTTCCAGGTAGCTTTATGTACATCACTTCACTTAATTCTGGCATATGGGTATGGTAAAGGGATTTTTAAAAAGGACATTTGTGGATATGCGTTGCTATCTCTGGATTAGATGCAGCAGTCCAATCGTTTTTGCCCTAAAGGTCTCTTTGATGTCCCTTATGTTAACGTTCAGAGTTAGAGAAATGCTTTTCTGTCTTTATAGGGTATATAGAGAGTTCCTGGTGAGACAGTCCTCTTAACTTTAGGTACCAAAGTTGGATAACCAAAGTTTAGGTAGTTGAATGTTTTTCACTGCCTACATAATCAGAACATCCAAAAAAAATCTCCGAGAATAATTACTACATTGAAGCAATTTGAGAAAATGTATAGTAGTGTTTTCATTTATGTAGTTAATCTTCTGCCTACTGCCTTCAGTGCTTACTGTTATTATGGTATATTTTTTTATTCGAATGGGACATCCAGCAATGCAGACTTTATTAGCCTATTTCACCTTTTGGTTTGCCACTCTGTTTACGTATTTTTGTGTAGTAGATTTATATTGATAATGACAGTAATTCTCTGTTTAATTCCTAAATTGGGATTTCTTCTTTTCTATACACAAATTTTAACAAGTATTAGTTGAAGAAGCATCCACTTTATTTTGTGTAATGCAGTTTAGTTGCATGCAGTAATCTTGGGTGGTATGACTACTAAATGAAGAAATCCTTGTTGAAGAAAGAGGAAATGTGTGTTAGGGAGTGATTTGAAGAGAAGGGTTGGACATTGCAAGTATGAGAACAGCAGCCAAAAAGCCTTCTCAGCTAGAGAAGAGTTCAGCATAGTCTCAGTTCTGGTTTTAGTATTTTGTCCCACAAAGTAAACCAGGTTTTTTTCACAGAAGTTTTAAATAACTTAATTATTAGGATTGATATCAAATGTGTGGTGATGCTATTTTTTAAATCAATATAAAAATATTTATGATTTAATATAAAGAAATGTTAGGTTTCTTTCTTGTATGGCAAAGATGTCACCATGAAATCTTGCATATATATATTCATGGCTGATGACGTACCTGCATCTGAAGTTGAATAGCTGTTCAACCATCATCTGGTTCTTCATACTTGACAAAAAGGCATACTCTCTATATGAGCACATTATGAGAAAGATCAGTATGTCTTCAAATGCTAATTTGAACAGTAAGTCAGTCAAGTTGATCTTCATGTAGTATTCAAGCTGGAAAATCAGTAATGTTTCTTAGTGAATGCTACCACAACCTGAAGAAATAGAGATTTTGAAAATATTTTGTGAAGCTTGGATATTAGGAGATGCAGAGGGAGGGAGGTAATGGTATATTTCTACAGCTGCTTATGCAGACCACACCTCCTGCCAGAAAACCTGCTCCTGCTTGGACTCCTCTCCACGGGTCACAGTTCCTGCCAGGAACTTGCTCCAGCATGGGCTGTCCATGGACTGCAGCTTCCTTCAGAGCATGTCCACCTACTACAGCATGGGGTCCTCCACATGCTGCAGGGTGGATATCTGCTCCCTCCGTAGGCTGCAGGGAGACAACCTGTATCACCATGATCTTCTCAATGGGCTGCAAGGGAATCTCTACTCTGGCACCTGGAGCACCTCCTCCCCCTCCTTCTTTACTGACCTGTGGATATGCGTTGCTATCTCTGGATTAGATGCAGCAGTCCAATCGTTTTTGCCCTAAAGGTCTCCTTGATGTCCCTTATGTTAACGTTCAGACTTGGAGAAATGCTTAGAGTCTGCAGGGCTGTTTCTCTCACATTTTCCTACTCTTCTCTCCTAGCTGCTGCACAGCTTTTGTTTTATTTTTTTTTTATTTACCCTTTCTTAAATATGTTATCACAAAGGTACCACCACTGTTGCTGATAGGCTCACGTTT